GTTTTTCATTTTTAAACTTCACTACTTTCTCAGAATGAATTGAATGCTGAAATCTCCCTTCATCAATATGTGGTATGTAATACATTTTAAAAGTAACAACCAAATTATACATCAACATGTCAAAGTACATAAAAATACAAATTAATATAAAAACTAATTTAAATAAGAGAAAAATTAATTTTTGAAGGACAAAACAATACTCAGAACTAAGAAGGAAGAGAAGGGTGGTTAGTCATTATTATTCACATTATTATTATATTGCCTGCAGCTTGCCTATTCCTTGACTTCCAATATAAATGCTAAAGACAAAAATCATTATCGTTAAATGGTAGTTAAAGGCAGATACTTGGATCTTTTTTATTTTAATCACATAGAACTCTATAGCCTTTGCTGATAGCACAATATATCTTATTACATTTAGGTAGTAAAATTCTATGCTTTGCCTCAGAGAATTTATATCACTGAATATTATGCTACCTTACTCCTAACTCTGGTAGACATTGGTAGTAATAATCTTTAAGGATCCATTTCTGAATTCAGTGCTCTTGGCATTCTACACCTCATACCTCCCATATCATACACAAAGTCTATTGCCTCATTTCATCAGCCGGGTAGCCTGCAATAGTAAAATGAATTTAGTGTTACACAAGTAAACTACTACATGACATGATCCATCATTAGAAAAAGTTGATGTAGATTAAACTGCAGTTAGAAGCATATGCACTAGACTTGAGAAGACTGTATTACTATCATTCAAAAAATATCTAAATCGTTTCAGCATAAGAACCCTCTTTTTACAAATACTCTGAAGGAAAAGATGGCATGAAAGACAGCTAGCTTATTACAACAGCACATACCAGGGAAATTAAATCATTACAGCTCTGTGTTTTCAGAGCTACCTGAGGGGCAATGTTTGTCTCAGTCAATGGTATAGCTATGAAATCAAATTAGAAAGCAAACAGAATTATGGGTCTTCAAAGCACCTGGATAATTTTTCAAATCTATTTAGCCTTTTCTCTCACAGCTTGGATCATGCTAAAACTATGCTAGAAAGATGAAAATCTATCATATTTTGAAAGATCTTACAATTTTACAACTTCTCTTAATAATCCATTTCCAATTAACAAACAAAATTATTGGGGAAAATGTCCTTATAATCAATACGGATTCTTATACTTTTTTTTCATAACCATGGGTTTTTTACATTATAGAAATACTAATGTTGGATGTAACACTAATAATCACATAGGAAATAGAAATTCTCATTGCGTCATGAACAAACACATATCTTGTTTCATGTCCACTCAATTTAAAATGTCCATGCATTCTGTTACTATTTTTCTACTTTTAAGTCCTTACAATACTATTTTTTTCACTTGCTAGACTCTCCTTTAAATAAAATCAGTGATAATTGTGTATAATTATTAACCAGTAAATTTCTCACAGGAGGTTCTTAATATCCATTGAATGAATAAGTAGATAGATTAGATTGATAGACTTGATATTCCCAGACACAATTGATATAGGAATCATATATCCTATTGCTGCAGTGTAGAGAGGTTCTTTGTATAATATTTATCTAGCTAATGAGGCCCCAACTCGTCAAGTATAGAACTATCTTTTGCTGTTGTCTGTAAGCACCTTTCTCCTACAACCTCTCTTTTCTACCTGAATCTATGCCCATACATTACCTTCCAAAAATCTCTAGGTCCATTGTTTACCACTTCCAGCAAACCCTCATTGCAAAAAAAAAAAAAAATTAGCAGCAGAAATACCATTTTCCCAATACTCAGCTATTACGTGAGAAGAGAATCATAAGAATGTAAAAGTTTTCCATTTCCAAATGTTGAGACTTGCTATTTATTTTACCACATAAATTTTAAAAATTAAAATTCCACTAATAAATTGTGTAAGCCATAAAATGTTGAAATTGAAACTTAGAAACAACAATAATAATCCCACATTTATCTTTGTTTCTCAGGAAGTCCTCCTATCAAACTTTGTCATAGCCATCTTGGTATTTTTTAATAACAGTTTCATTTTTTGGGTTGCAAAATTTATACAATTGCATCAAGTCTTTATCTCATGTTGCACATGTGTACATGAGCCATTTTAGATGACAATTGGTTGTAGCATCACTAAAAAAAAGTAGCTTGTTCTGTGAATGGTCCTGATGTTCCATATGCCTAGAATGATCCTAGGCAACTGTAAAGAAATTAAAATAGTGAACTTGATGGACCATTTAACTATGGTATATTCTATTTTACAGACCATGGTTGACTATAATCAAGGCTTCAATATCTGTTTTCTTAGGCATTATTTAACAATGAAAACAGTTTGTAAGTATCTTTGCCTACTATCTTTCTTTATAAAAAAGTACTCCATAGATAGCAGAGGCATTAGAAAGCATTAAAGTACATCTATTTCCCTTTCTGATTAATTTTTCCTAAGTGAGTTAAAGAGAGAAGAGGGAGAAGAAATTCTCCATTGTCACAAAGAGAAAAGTAAAAGCAGAATGTGACCCTCTATAAGAGAAAGTCCTTTGACTGATAGGTATTTTCCCTCTACATCACTGAAACAGCATGTAATGTGATCTAACTTTAACCTCCTAAAAGAAATCAACCATTTACTTGATAAACTAGGATAATCATAAGGAAATGGATAGGGTTGCAATTTTTTTAAATGACTGGAGGAAAAATGCAGTGCTGGGCTGAATGAATAACCAAGAGGCAAGGGTACTTTCTAAAGTTCAAATTCATTCAACCTAATTCCCTGCTCCTTCAAACAAACCTGGTCAGAAAAGAGTATTAACCATTTTTATTAACTCTGACACTCACACTTTAAATAATAAAGTAAGCTGCTTGAGAATGCTTTTCAGTGCAGTGATACATTTATACTGTGAAAAAGGCATCACAGTTTTATAAGTGACAAAACTATCTTGGGCTTCACAAATTAGTCAAACATCTCCCCTCACTGCATTAAGTACTTAGGTGTAAACCACAAAGGTTCAGTTTAGTTACATTACAGCCAAACTGGGAATAATTAGATCTGTTACTCCCTCTTCTTATTACTATAATCAGCTCAAGCTTTAGGCTGTTAGCTTTAAATTCTGGACTGTCGACAGAAAAAGACTTTCTAGTATGGAAGATAGAGTGGTATAGGGAATAATATAGAGAGCATAGGGAAGGGAAAACGAATCAGGAAACATACAGAGCATCTGGTTTAGCAAAAAGATCAATTCTGAAAAGAGTCAAAGCTCCAGAAGTTTCATACTTGTGACTTTTGTCCTCCCCCCTTTTCCTCTTTTGTTAACTAAACTGTTTGAGATGAAGGCTGCCATCTTGGAGTCCCAAGCACCTAAGTTCAGATCAGCTTTCCTGTTAACTGGGTAGCCTTGAACAAATTATTTCAATCTCTCTGGGCCTCAACTTCTTCTTCTGTAGAATGAGAGGGTTAGGTTAGATCAGTGGTGTCAAACTCAAAATGTAATAGAACTCTCTGGCTGTTATTGACTGACTGACCTAGAAAACCACAAATTAACAATATCTACTTTGTTTTGTATTTTTATTTATTTTGTTAAACATTTCCTGTTTGCATTTTAATCTGGTAGTGGGGAACTCTGGAGTTTTATAGGCCCCATTTTTTTTTGACACTTCTGGCCTCAAGGACATCTAAAGTCCTTTTTAGCTCTAGCAGAGGTTCCCAAAGTGGTGATACTGCCCCTATGAGGCACTGGAATGATCCAGAATGGGGCAGTAGTAGCCTTGGTGCAACTGGTGGGGCACTGAATAAAAATAAGGGGGCAGTAGAAGTACAAGAAGAGAAGGGAAGAAAAAATTTTGAAAAACCATTCATATATGTTTCATCTGTTGCATAACAGAGTTAAAGTTATAGTGATTACATTATTTTTCCAAATAAACACCCAAAATGAAAGTTATAACCAAACAGTGTTGTCAAGTCCACCAACAGGTCTTAACAAGCAAGTGTTGGCAGACAAGCATGTTGAACATTGTCAGGAAGTCCAGTATGCATGGGCAGGAATGTGTGGTTTAATGACTTGTACAATATGATACTATACAGTTACATGATGCAATATGGTATAATCAAAGTTTCAATGCAGGGGGAAAAAACACACATTTATCATAAATTATTAAATTTAAGATGTGTCATTTTAAAAAATATATTTTATATATTCTTTGAAATAACACACATTGCAAAAAAATTAAAGGTTAAAGAAAGTGGATTTCCAACGGGGCACTGAGTAATTTTTTTTAAAGGGGGGCAGTAGGCCAAATAAGTTAGGGGAACTGTGCTCTAGAGCTATGATCTTGTGATCCTGTAACTGAGAAAGGGAGAAGTCAGTTTGAGATGGAGTAGCTGAATTAGGTTTCCTGAAAGAGTTCATACTTGAGCTTGTTCTTAAAGGACACATATAAGTAAACAGAAAAAATTAGGTCAAACAGCAGGACAGAAAGCAGAGAGGAATCAAGAAAAGGAACGTCGTCTGACTGAAAGCTAAATGTAAATTCTCTTAAGTATAATTAAACAGGTTTGCCCTTTCCTCAAATCTCTAACTCTAAAAAATGAGAATTATATATTGATGTATTATAGTATTCTAAGTATAAATATAGTATTCTAATTATAAGTATACGATATTCTAAATGTAGAATGGATTCCTAAGGGATATTGTGGTATCACCATCACTGGTGATTAAAAACAAAGCAGAACAGACACTTATTTACAAAGACTGCTTTGAAATTCTTACTTAATTTCAGAAACTTAGATTAAATTATATTTTTAGCTTCCTTCTGCTAAACTCTTGCAACTCACATTGTCACTAAAATTAAAGGAATGGATTAAATACTTGAAGGTCCCTTCTAGATATAAAAGTCTTTGATTCTTTAAATATAATCAGATAGTAGCATCACATAAACATTTCTATTCTTAGATTCAAGATCTTTTATGAAACTTTGAATCGTAGCTTTTTAAAAATTACTCACATTTTGGCCCATTTTTCCATTTCTTCTTCCAGATATGTTTTAACCTTTTTCGGTTGAAGGCCCAGAGAATTTCCCAATAAGTAGATGGACTTTTCATCTTTGTTTACTAAAGACAGATCAACTGAAAGAGAAATGAAAACTGCTTATTTGAAAAATAAGGGGGTAGGAAAATTTTCCTTTTGATATTTTGGCCACCACAGTACAAACACAATCACATGAGCAGAGGAAAAAGAAAATACTTTATTGCTGCCCACCCCCAGTTACTTCACCATAGAAAACTATTTATAATTATATTTTTAAACAATATACAAACATTGAGGGCATTTGCTATGTATAGTATTTGGTGAGAAGAGGTCTTAGATAACATAACTTCAAGCACAAAGAAAGCTATATCAATAGAAGAAATTTTGAAATGTTAATTTTGACAAGCATGTTATCTCATTTTTATCCTAAAGCTATTACATTTTGGTATTAGCTACCTCAGACTGCCATCTACAATAGCTGACTATAAAGTCAATGAGCCCTGAGCTTGAGTCCTGCCTCAAGCACTTACTGTGATTCTGGGCAAGTCATTTAATCCCTCTGAGCTTCAGTTTCCTCATTTGTCAAATAGGGATAATAACAGTACCTACCTGAGAATCATATGAGATAATGAATGCAAGATACTTTGTAGATCTCAACAATATTAATTAATGTCAGTTATTACTAACATTATGGTAAAGGATTTGTAGCAATTTCATCTCTCTTCTCAAAGAAGAGAGCATTTTGTTTAACCTCTCAGTCTATTATTATTATTATTATTATTATTATTATTTAATTTCTCTATTATTAAAATGACAAAAGGGAAAATGTCAAAAAGATAATAAAGTATATGTTAGACAGGGTATATAGATATCTACATATTTATCCCTTGGTAAAAATAGAGTCAAAGACACTGAATCTACTTCTCTTACTCCCCTCACCACCCACCACTAAAAATAATAATAATAATAATTTTTTTTGAGGGCAGGGACTGTTTCATTTTTATCTTTACATCCTCAGGAGCTCGCATAGTTCCTGGCACATACAGGCATTTAAAAAATGCCTGCTGAATGGAAATGTCCAGGAAAAGGCAAGTGTGCTTAATTGGATAGCAGAAGTATAGAACTGCAGGTTAGAAGGGATGAGAAAGGTCATCTACACTACCCTTATTCAAAGCATTAATTCCACGTAAACTATCACCCAAAATGGTCATCTAGTAGACTGAAGCCAACCAGTGACAAAAACGACTTCCTAATGTACATTGTATTCAATTTTTTCCATCAAACATTTAGAACCCACTATGTATGACATTTTTAGTACTCCCTGCCCTCCTCTGGATTTCTTCATCATACCACTAGGAACCTTATCATCATGCAAGACCACATCAACCTTGGTACTCACATTTCATCAGTGCTTTCTGGCCCTAGAGACTTCTCTCTTTGGAGTATGGAGTGCAGAGCTCCTTCCCAAACCTCCATTTAAGTAGGATGCCCAGGCCAGCCATCTCTTAATTTCCCACCAAGGTGAAATCCTATGAAATTTTCCATCATGCCCCAGCACCTGGTACAGTTCCTCCCCCTTCTCTTGCCCCGCTTCAGCTTCCTTTTGGGTATTGTTTTCCTCCATTAGATTGCAAACTATTTGAGGGCAGAGACTGTAATTCTTTTTTGGTGTTGTTGTTGTTTGTCTTTTGTTCTGTAAGAAGACCAATGACATCAGGAGGGTGATGTCTTGACTCGCAAGTGAATTGGATTTAAGCGAGGTAGGGCTGTGCAAAGTTATCAGCCTCACTCTCTCCTCCAGGGTTATCTGAGTCCAGTGGCAAGACATAAGTTGAGGGGCAGCTAGGTGATGCAGTGGATAGAGCACCAGCCCTAGATTCAGGAGGACCTGAGTTCAAATGTGGCCTCAGATAACCCTATTGCCTAACCAAAAACCAAAAACAAACAAAAACAAAAAAGGCATAAGTCAGGAAGACTGGAGATGATCCCAGATGCAGTAGGAGACCTTGGCCTTTTTAAGCTAAGGTCTTTCCCACATCTCAGTTTGTCTGAGGCAACACTCAGTGATCTAAGGCTAGGTAAGAAATAAGGCAGAAGATGGCCTCATTTGCCTATTCAAAAAAAAAAAAAATGAGAGGGGAAGACCCTCAGAGTTTCTGGCCAAACAGAAACAGTTGTTATTTACACTAATTCTCAGCCATCAAAACCAAATAATGACCAAATCAGGCTTGGGCTACTGATCAATCAACGAAAGACAGAGTGATTTGGTTTTAAGGCATGGTCAAGTAGCTCCCTTTGAATCCCAAAGGGGTTTATCAAAGCCTGGTTTTCCAGAGTTCTATTTCAAGAAATCATTAATGAAATTACATGGGAAAAAAGAGTTAATTGTCCCAGTTTGTTTGTTTTTTTAAATGAAAGAATAAATAAGTAGGGAAAAGGAAAAAAAAATCTATCCCCCAAGCCCCAAGATATCTTGTGAGGTTTCAGTGATCAAAATTTATATTCCTTTAGGCAGAGAAACCACATGTAAGGATATGATTTCTCATGTGAACAAAGGGAAAGGAGGGCTGGAGGGAGAGAGGGAAGAAGAAAAAGGAAGGAAGGAAGGAAGGAGCTGTGTTGTCCAACTGGAACTGGCCAGTGGGGTAGCTACTACTCTCACAGATTATTGTTTGTCCTTAGTTTTAAAAGAGGACCAATGACATCAGGAGGGTGATGTCTTGACTTACAAGTGAATTGGATTTAAGTGAGGCTGGGCTGTGCAAAGTCATTAGCCTCACTCTCTATTCCATGGTCATCTGAGTCCTGTGGCAAGACAGGTCAGGGCAATTGGAGATGACCCCAGATGCAGTGGAAGACCTTGGCTTTTTTAAGTTAAGGTCTTTATTTGTATGGCAATAAGCAAAAAAAAAATGTTTTGATTTTGTTCTCATGAATTTTCTCTCCAATGTGTATAGAAATAGCTATGACTATGATTAAGTACTCCTACTTCATTGAGCCCAAATAGTCGCGTATTTGTTAGAAGTAAAGGCCACTTCTACAACTTCTTAACTAAACCTTTGAAGAGTTTTTTTAAAAAATAACTTATAGACATACATTTAAATCTAATTGCTTTTATAGATACTTTTTTCATCTGTATTGTTTTTAACCTGACCCAGTGAGAGGTATAAATATTATTCACACTCTTCAATTGGAACTATTAACAGTTCTCTGTTATCCAGAAGAATAAATGATTGTCTCATTGAGAAGAGAAAATGTGGCCTTTTATTTTGACTTTAGATCTATTAATTCGTCTACTGTGTCTCAAATTCCAACTCAACAAAAATATCTGACCCATTGAGAGCTAAATATCTCTTGTGCATTTCAGCCCCATCCAAAGCAATATGCAAGACTATTGAAGCAATATGCCTATTAATTGCCCTACCATCCTATTTTCTCTTAATTTTCTGCTTTAATTTATGCTATTTCCATTGTCATATATTTGCATATAATTTCATATTCAAAAGAAATCTCCATGAAAGAAAAGGGATTCAAGATTTAATTATCCATTCTATATAAGCTGAGAGCATATTTCCCACGTCCTTCCTGTTTTTTAAGTAAAGGAATCTTTAGTTTTTAGGATCTGAAGTTTTGATATAATCCTTTGCATACCTAAGAACTTATTAAAATAATGTGATGTGATTGTAGTGAACAAAATGGTCACAATGGAATTATGTTAAGTAAAAGACCTTACTCATCCTTTAAGGGTCAACTTAAAAAACTCACTGCTCTGTAAAGCCTTATTTGACCATTGCAAACTATAGTAGACCCCATCTCTGAACTCTTAAGATTTCTACTCTTTATATACTTCATCAGTCAATCAATCACATACTTATTAAGTACTTACTATGTTCCGAAACAATAACAAAAGTAAAATAGTACTTGTTGCCCTATATTGTAAGTCTTCTTATTTTATTTCATTATAGATTTCATTCCTTAATAATCCTTTTAGTCCTGCAGAATGTAAGGTTTTGTGAGCAAGGACTGTATTTCTCATACTTCTTTACATTTCTCCATAGAACCAGGCACAGTGCCTTACACATGTTAGACAAAGATATCATCATCTAGTTCAATAAGTTACCAAGTTAAAATGGGATGAACTGGGGACCTCAAGAGATGTGTAATCAATTAATCCTATGAGAGGAGGAAAATAGGTTACCATCTACCCTCCCTGGATAGCCAAACATAGGGCTTGTTTCTAACAGAAAAACATTAAAGAATACAGAATTTGAGAGTTGGAGGTGTCAAGATATTTGGAGACACCCTGTTTTCCAAAGCTGAGATCTAGCAAGCAGGCTGTGCCCTGAGCTTAGCATAAAACAATCATTTTGGCTCTGGATGATCTCACCATTGTCAAAGTGTATTGCTTTGACCAGCACCAGGTGTTCATTGAGAGATTTATCCTAAAGCTATCTGTCACATCTCTTGATACTCTCACAGTCCCTGTTTCTTATAATAGCTAAGTGAGTTGAACCAGGTACTGCACTCCTGTTCTTGGCCATGTTAACTCTGGTTCTCTACCCCACTGAATAAGCACAAAGCTCAACGACCCTTAAGACTTTAGACATCAACTTAAGAACTGTTCCCATGGGACCCAGGAACACCTGCATTGTCCATGAATGATCCTGCCATTGGAGTTGCTAAGAATGATTGTGCTGTGGTCCAACTCATTTGTGCTTTTTATGTATCTCTCTTTATTTTTGTCAGGGGGTGGGGTTCTGCTTGCAAGCATCTTTCTCAGTCAGAAATCAATTATTTCAACTTCTATTTAATCCCTGCCACACCTGCCTCTGGCCTGCTCTGTTTTGCTCCAGTCGTTCCCAGATTAGAGGTTGGTCCTGGTTCAGTTGACAGAAGGGACCTCAGAGGCTTTCTTGTTTAATCCTTTGGGAGGAGGAATCCCCAGTGTAATATACATGACAAGTGGCCATTCAGCCTCTTATTTAAAGACCATGGGGGTAAGGGTGTGGAGGTGGGGCACAGCAGGGAATACACCACCATTCATGATAGCCTTAATTGTTAAGAAATTTTTGTCAGATATCAAACCTAAATTTGCTTT